CTGGACTGTAAGATTAACCACTCCCCTTTTTTTGTTACAAATCTTCTACCTTTACAATTGTGACAGTCGCAATTAGTCATGATAACAGTTATTCACTATTGAATCTTACGAATCTTATCCCCATATCTTTTCACCAGACCCATCTAGACAAGATGACAGCTATTCAGTGGGGACTATTTCTTTCCCCCCATACTCTTAAACTAAACTACCTCTTGAAACCTTGTAAGCCAGTCACTTCGTGCCTTTATTGCCCCCTCATTTTAGGTAGCCAATGTCTGAGAGAGATTAGTTTTTAATTTTCTTTTCTTGTAATATATTTGTCATGTTTTGGTATCAAGATTTTGGTTATCTCGCAATATAAACTTGAAAAGTAATTTCTGTTTAGAAATCTCTGCAGAGGTGTTTATAATATGTGTATTATTTCTTTCTTAAATTATTGGGAGAATGCACCAAATAAGCATGTAGTATTCTTTGCGGAAAGCAGCCTTTCTCAACAGTGATTCTGTGAGTGAATTAAAGCCCTACAAAAAATTATTTGAATTACTGTTTTCTTAATTCTCTCTAGGATGGTACATAGCTTACACTATTCTAGGCTAGTACGTGAGAATTTAATTCTTTACGTATAATAGGTGCCTGAGGCTTAATTTGCTCATGGAATCCCAGTTGCAAAGGTCTGATGATATGCTTGTTAATTACAGATTCAATTTCTTGATTAGTTGTAAGCTGTTCTGATTTTCTTTTCTCACATCAGTTTTACTAAGTTATATTTTTCACAAAATTTGCCTGTTTTACTTACAATTTTGGCATACTTTTATTTATTATCTTGTTATCTTTTCATATACCTATATATATACAAGACAGAGTCCCTGGTATGATGCTATGGGTTAATGTGCTGGACTGCAAGGTCGGTTTGAACTGCAAGGTCAGTTTGAACTGTGAGGTCGGTGGTTCAAGCTCACCAACCGCTCCTTGGAAACAATATACATGGTCACTATGAGTTGGAACCAACTTGATGGCACTTAACAACAATATATACAGACATTGTTTTCAGTTCTGTTAGTTTTGCTTTATATATTTTGAGCCTATTATTAGGTGAATGTAAATTTAGCATTGTGTTTTATCTTCCTGCTGAACTGCATCTTTATCATTATGTCACTATTTCTAGTAATACTTCTTATATTAAAGTCTACTATGTATCTTTTTTTGATTGGTGTTTGCATGGTTTATCTTTTTACTTTTAACTTCTCTGAGTACTTTCATTTAAGATGTGTCACCACAAGATTAGTGGTTCAAATTCACCAGCCATTCCTTGGAAACCCTATGCAGGATTGCTATGAGTTGGAATCAACTTAATGGCACTTAACAGCAGCAAAATTGGATGTCTTTATTTCAGTTTAATTTGTGAAGGACAGTTTTGCTGCATACAGAATTCCATGTGGGCAGTTAATTACTTTGAACACATTAAAGATATAGTTCCTTTGTCTTTTGGCTTTAATTGATTCTGTTGAGATGCTGGAGGTCAGTCTTAATTCTTTATCTTTTTTTCTCTCACTGCCTTTAAGGTTTCCTATACTTTTTTTAATTATTATTATCAGTTTCACTGTAATGTACTTAATGTGTTTTTTCTTTGTTCTTCTCCATCTTTTCATGTTTCCTTAAACATATTAATTGTAACGTTTTAAACATCTTCCCTATTAACTGTGGGTCTGCATCTCTTGTCTATTTTCTTTTGTGTCTCTTTTCTTTTGGGTTTTAGATACTGTTTCCAATGGAATGTTGAATATTATGCATGCGGAATTATAGAGGCTGTGGCTGGTGCCTTTCTCTACCAGAGATTTAATATTCTTCAGGCAGGTAGACTACAATATCAGCAAATCACCTAGATTACTTGAGGGACCTGAATTCCAATTTTTATCTCCCTAGGAACCATGGCTTTGTCAGTTTGTAAATTTTTCATACTGTGGTGGCTTCTGCATTGCTGTGATTCTGGAAGTTGTGTCACCAGTATTTTAAATACAAATTTAATGAATTGAAGACAAAAGGAAGACAAACTGTCATCAAGAGCATAATACACGAAGAAAACAAAAGGTCATTAAGAAGGCGGAAAGAAGTAAAAGACCAAAATGGATGTCACAAGACTCAAACTTGCTCTCCAGTGTGCAGATGCTAAAACAAATGGAAGAAATGAAGTAAAAGAACTGAATATAAAAATTTGAAGGGCAGCTTCAGAAGACAGAGTCAAATATTATAATGAAATGTGCGAAGACCTGGAGTTAGAAAACCAAAAGGGACGAATATGCTCAGCATTTCTCAAGCTGGAAGAACTGAAGAAAAAAATCAAGCCTTGGCCTGTAATAACTGAAAGATTCTTTGGGCAAAATATTATGAATGATGCAGAAAGAATCAAAAGAAGATGGAAGGAAGGGTCAACAGGATGGGAAACTTAGACATTGACCACCCCAAAAGGGGAGGGGGCTACAAAGTAAAGAAGTGACTGGCTTACAAGCTTTCAAGAGGGAGCCTAAATCCAGAGGGTGCAGAAGAAGGTAGAATCTCTGCTGAGTAGTATCCAATCTGTCTGGGTGGGGCTGATGAAAGGAGATGGGGATAAGACTCTTGTGGTTCAGTAGTAAATGATTGCTATCAGGACTGACTGTGAGGGTTGGAAATGTAAAGGAAGACATTTTGTAACAAATGGAGAGTGGCTGATTTTGCAGTCCAGGAGCAGAGGTCCCCAGGACCATCAAGGGAAAAGAGCGAGTGTGGGATCCTACCCAGAAAAACAGTGATGCCAGAGATGGAGGCAGAGATGAAGATGTGGAGAGATGGAACAGCTGGGGACTCTGCACTCAGGGAGGGAGAGGGTCTGTGTGTTGATGGCCAGGGGGCAGGCTTGCGGGGTGTACCCTTTGGTTGTTTGATGGTGCATGGAGGGGATTGTAATCATTGCAATGAAATGAAAGTGTGGTAGGATGAATGTAAAACTAATGTTCCCCCATATAAACGATCACATAATTCACAATTTAAAAAAAAAAAAAAGATGAAAGGAGGAATACACAGAGTTACTGTACCAAAAGGAAATTGTTGATTTTCAACTGTTTCAAGGGGTAGCTTATGATCAAGAGCCAATGATACTGAAGGAAAAAGCCCAAGGTGCACTGAAGGCATTGGCAAAGAACAAAACTCTGGGAATATATGGAATACAAATTGAAATCTTTCAACAAACTTATGTGGCACTGGAGGCACTCATTCATCTATTCTGAGAAATTTGAAAGATAACTACCTGGCCAACTGACTGGAAGATACTATGTTTGTGCCCGTTCCAAAGAGAGTTGACCCAACAGAATGTTGAAATCATCAGACAATATCATTAATATCGTAGGCAAGTAAAATTTTGCTAAAGATAATTCTAAATGTAATGCTACAGCATTATGTTAACAGGGAGCTTCCAGAGGTTCAAGCCAGATTCAGATAGGAACATGGAATGAGGGATATTGTGGCTAATGTAAGATGGATCTTGGCTGAAAGCAGAGAATACCAGAAAGGTTTTCACCTGTGCTTTATTGAGTATGTAAAGGTTGTTAATTGTGTGGATCGTGACAAGCTGTGAACAACATTGCAGAGAATGAGTAATTAGGAACACTTAATTGTGATCATGAGGAACCTGTACCTAGGCCAAGAAGCAGTAATTCAAACAGATCAAGGGGGCACTGAATGGTTTAAAATCAGGAAAGATGTGTGCCAGAGTTGTATTCTTTCATTATACTTATTCAACTTGTATGCTGAGCAAATAATCCAAGAAGCTGGATTATGTGAAAAAGAACATGGCATCAGTACTGGAGGAAGACTCACTAACAACCACAATATGCAGATGATACAGCCTTGTTTGCTGAAAGTAAAGAGGATTCAAAATGCTTACTGATGAAGATCAAAGATCACAGTCTTCAGTATGGGTTGCACCTCAGTGTGAGGAAAACAAAAATCCTAATCACTGGACCAATAAATAACATCAAGATAAATGGAGAAAAGATTGAAGTTGTCAAATACTTCATTTTACTTGGATCCACTATCAACAGTAGTGAGGTTGGCCCAGGATCAGGCAGGTTTGTTTTTTTCTGCTGTGCATGAGGTTGCTGTGAGTCGGCACTGACTCAATGGCACCTAACAACAACAACACACTCTACATAGACGCCTGGTATGGTGCCGTAGAATCAGCACTGAACTGCAAACCACAGGGCAGCAGTTCAAACCTACCAGCTGCTCCTCAAAAACCCTATACAGTGTCGCTATGTGTCGGAACCCTGAACTGACTGGACTGCACTTAACAGCAACAATACTTCCAATGGAAAAGAACAGCAGTGATGGCTGCCTTACTTCATTGAATTTGTCTTCCCCATGCCCTCTGGTATTGAAAGCCTTTGTTGTTCCAAGTTGTCTTAAAAATAGCTGGTGGATTTTGTTTACTGCCTTTTACTTTTTATTTTGCTTTTTCAGCAGAAGGATTGGGTCTGATGGAAACTTTTATTTTTTCCCCTCCACAACTGGAAGTATAAGTTTCCATCTGATAAATTTTTAAATAATTACTTGAAATCAGTGATGTTTATTGCTATATGTTTTACATTCTTCAGGATGCAGTGTCAGCCTTACTTGCAAGAACATCAGCAGAGCTGCTGGCGGTGGAACAAGAATTAGCACAAGAAGAAGAGGAGGAACCAGGGCTGGAAGAAGAGCCAAGGGTTCCAGATGGCGATTGGTAAAGCTTTTATTTCCTTTTGCTGTTGAATATTCAAGGAGGGTAGTGTTTAGTTTCTCATAAAAAAATATTTCAGGGAAAATTGTTATATCTTATTTTCTGGACTTGTGCAAAACAATGTGGCTCAGGAAGTTGTTGACTAGGAGGAAGTTTGTCCTTGGTCATCAGCAAGTCGAAAAAGATAATGGCGAGATTAATGGGCAAAGTTAACGTATTGACAAGGTTCTTTACTCTTGCCTCAGTAATTTGTGACACTATTTTCAGGGGCTTTTTGTTTAAGTCTAAATTATCTAATTTGAATGGTATTGTAGTCTTTGTGGTTTTAGAGTCATTGACAAATGAAAAGACTGCCTCCCTTTTTCTTTAAACTAGTAGAAATATCAAAACAGGTATTGAGGGAATGTCTTCTCAGTAGTTATTTCTCTATTTCCTCTTTCATCTTCCATACTCTTTTCTGTTGCCTCCTCTTATCCATTTCTCATCCTTAAAAAGGAAGGAAAAAAGTTATTTAACTTTGTCCAGATTTATACATGTATAAAGAGCTTTCTTTCCTGGTTCGCACAATTTTTCTGTAAAAAGAACATTTTAGTGAATGTTTATTTTTGAAGTATATTTATAAACTACTTGTATATACAGATTCTTATACTGTTATGTTTGAGTTTCTCTTAGCACATATAGCATGCACTTGTGTGTATGTGTATATAGCTATATAATAACTTTTTATAAACTCAGTATATATCAAGGTTGTTGTTGTTGTTGTTAAGTGCCATTGTGCCGGGTCCGACCCATAGCGACCCTGTACAGGGTTTCTGAGGGTGTAAATCTTTACGGGAGTAGAAAGCCTCATCTTTCTTCCGCGGAGCAGCTGGTAGTTTCAAACTGCTGACCTTAAGGTTCGCAGCCCGATTCGTAACCACTACGCTACCGGAGCTCCTTATATATCAAGGTATATATCATTAATACAGGAGCTCTGGTAGCATAGTGGTTACGAATCGGGCTGTGAACCTCAGGGTCAGCAGTTCAAAACTACCATCTGTTCAGCAGGAGAAAGATGCGGGCATTCTGTTCCTGAAAAAATTTACAGCCTCAGAAACCCTGTACAGGGTCACTATGAGTCGGAATCGATTCCATGGGACATTACAACAACAACAACATCATTAATACAATTGTGGCCATGTAGAAGAAACTATTGCTGCTGTGATACAAAATGGTACAGACATACATTGCTCTTATCAGAAGCCCTTTTTAGTAAATACACATCAGAGCACTATAAAACAAATAGGTATGAGAGTGATTATGAAGCTTGTCATGGTGTCTTTAAATACTACACCCTCTACACCCTCTACTGCATATAAAATGCAACTTGTTTTACACACATTTCAAAAAATATACTTAGTATGCATATAAAGGGACTTCTGGGTCATGTTCCTCATTCCCCCTAGTGAGTGTTTCATAGCTAGACATGTAATAACTTTTCTGTACCAAGTTGTCTGTATGTCACCAATCACAAAGTTCTTAGTTATCAGTGGGAAACATGTTTCTTTTTGAAGAGCATGAAAACACAACAAAACATGAGCTATCCCACAATGTCCTGCCACTTTTTTGTTGTTGTGAAGTGCTGTCAAGTCAATTCTGACTCACAGTGACCTGTATAGGGTTTCAAGGCTTTTTAAATGTGTGTGGGAGCAGAAAGCCTCTTCATTCTCCCATGGAGTGGCTGGTGGGCTTGAACTGCTGACCGTGTGGTTCGTAATCCAGTGCTAATCGTACAGAGCCACCATGTTCCCTTCTGGTATTTTGCTGCTGTTGTTAGGTGCCTTCAAGTCAGTTGCAGCTCATAGTGACCCCATGCACAATGGAACGAAACACTGCCTGGTCTTGCACCATCCACACAGTTGTTGTTATGCTTGAGTCCATAGATACCACCACAGTGCCAATCCATCTTGTTGGGGGTGTTCCTCTTTTTAGCTGACCCTCTACTTTCCAAACATAATGCCCTTCTCCAAGGACTGGTCCCTCCTGATTGTTGTTGTTAAGTGCTGTTGAATTAGTTACTGGTTCCTGTTGCAGACCGTGAAGGCCTGGTCAGAGGTCCGAGGCCCTATAGGCCCAAGTGTAACAGATCTAGCCACCTGGCAAGTTAATCACAAATTATTTTTATTAGATGCAGACATGAAGCCCTTGATATACACAGATAAATGTAATATTTTCCTAAAAGTCAAGACTGTAAAATTCTAAACAGGCAAAGTTCTTCCCTCAGAGAATTCATTCAGGGTAAATTGCGTGGCTCCCTGGTCTGTTCCAAGGACAATAGGAATGCCCTCCCTAAAGTGTTTCCAGGTGCTGCCTATTCACCCAGACGCCTCTTTTCCTGAAGAACCTGGGCTGGGCAGCGATACAGTAGGGATCCTCCGGATCCTCCCTTTCCTCCCTCCATTTGAGGCTAGGTGCTAAAAGGTATGTTAATTAAGCTTGAGAAACCAAGTTGCGGTTGTGAGATTCATTCGAACCTGCAAAGTATGATGTAAAGTTGCCTGAATGTCTGGAAAAATAAAGATAGACAGCTATATTTTGTCTTAGTCCCCTCCTAGCTTTGTGTAAAGTACCTCCCCTAAATAAAAGGAAGGCACAGAACGAATCCAGGTGCATTACGACTGGCAAGGCATGTGTTACAGCATGCAAGGGGTACAGTCCAGCCTTGCAGCCATACTGCCTGTTTAGCTAAGATGTTTACTATGCAGGATATTACGGCCTTCATGGCTGAGATGTTTGCAATGCAGGATCTGCCTGATGCCAGTCCAGCATTCACTCTGATCTTGGAGTGTCTCTTTGTCTCTCTCTTTGCGTCTCTGTGTCTCTTTTGCTATATGTATCGCCGCTGAATCTCCTCTCCTCGTGAACCAAACACTCGTGAACAACACAACTATGTCGAGGCAAGTCCCCGGCAGGTTCCAACTCATAGCAACCCTGTATAGGAGAGCAGCTGGTGTGTTTAACTGCCAACCTTGTGATTCGCAGTCCAATGCTGATCCTACATTGCCACAGTAGGAGTCCAGGTCCCTCCTAATAACATGTCCAAAATATGAGAGACATTCTGGCTATACTTCTTCCAATACAGATTTGTTCTTCTGGCACTTCATGATATTTTCAGTATGCTTCCATAACAGGATAGCTCAAATGGATCATCAATTTTTCTACATTTTCCCCTTGTTCATCATCTATTTTTCATATGCATATGTTGTTTTTATTAAGTGCAATGGAGTCGGTTCCCACTCATAGCGATCCTGTGCAGCATTTCCAAGGCTGTAAATCTTTACAGGAGCAGAAAGCCTCATATTTCTCCCGCAGAACAGCTGGTAGTTTCGAACTGCTGACCTTGAAGTTTGCAGCCTGATTCTTAACCACTAGGCTACCAGAGCTCCTGAGGCCATTGAAAATACCTTGGTTTGCATCAGGCACACTTTAGTCCTCAAACTGATATCTTTGCTCTTGGACAATTTCCTTGTAAATATGGCTTATGTAGAATATAAACCATATTTATAATCTGGAGCACCACTTGTAATGTGGCCTAAGTCCGTGCCAGGAATTTTGTTAAGATGGTATCATCTGATATATGGGTTATATGAAGAAAAACATGGCATCAGGATTGGAGGAAGACTTCATTAACAACCTGCAATTTGCAGATGATACAACCTTCCTTGCTGAAAGTAAAGAAGACTTAAAATACTTACTGATGAAGATCAAAGACCACAGCCTTCAGTATATATTGCATCTCAATGTAAAGAAAACACAAATCCTCACCACTGGACCAATAAACAACATTGTTATCAATGGAGAAAAGATTGAAGTTGTCAAGAACATCATTCTTCTTGGATCAACTATCAACACTCATGGAAGCAGCTGTCAAGAAATCAAATGACGTATTGCATTAGGCAAATCTGTTGCACAAGACCTTTTTAAAGTGTTGAAGAACAGAGATGTCAGCTTGAAGACTAAGGTGCACCTGATCCAAGCAAGCTATGTTATTTTCAATAACCTCATATGCATGCAAAAGCTGGAAGACCATAGAAGAGTTGATGCTTTTGAGTTTTGGTATTGGAGGAGAATATTGAAAGTGTCATGGGATGCCAAAAGAACCAATAGATCTGTCTTGGAAGAAGTGCAGTCAGAGTGCTCCTTGGAAGCCAGGATGGCCACACTTCATCTCTTATACGTTGGACATATTGCCAGGAGGTACCAGTTGCTGGAGAAGGATATCATGTTTGGTAAGGTGGAGGGTCAGAGAAAAAGAGGGAGATCGCCAGCGAGATGGATTATCAAAGTGGCAGCATCAATGGGCTCAAACGTGGCAACAGTTGTGAGATTGGCCCAGGACCGGGCAGTGTTTCATTCTGTTGTGCATAGGGTTGCTATGAGTTGGTACCAACTCTATGGCACTTAACAACAGCAACAAATACTTCAGTTGTTATTGTTAAGTGCCCTCAAGTCAGTTCCAACCCATAACAACCCTGTATAGGGTTTACAAGGAGCAGTTGTTAGGTCTGAACAGTCAGCCTTGCAGTTCAAACTGACCTTGCAGTCTAGCACATTATCCTGTCGCACCACACCAGGACTCTACTGATACTTCAAAAGTAAGATTTAAAGCCTCAAAAACTCTGCAGAGTCACTGTGAGTTGGAACCAACTTAACAACACTTAACAACAACCCTTACTGTAATAAATAGGTATTATCAATAAATGGGTATTATTAATCCTAGTGTCCCTATCCACTCGTGATTGAGAGTCATTCTGTTCTGTTGTATGATTAATTTTATAGTACATGGACAACTAATACCAATTTGCACCATAGTGAGCATCAGTATTTTAACTTTATATGTGGATTATTGGAATATTTTTATTGTAGCCTCTCAAAATGAGGTCACATTTCATGATTTTAACTTTGCCAATGCTAAATTATGTTGGGTTTGCTGTAGGTTATACCAGATAATAAAGTGAGAATGAGACCTTTGGGTTAAAAGTTCTAACCAGGGGAATGCCTTGAAATCATTATACATCGAGTCTGTTAGCTACTTCCCAGATAATGGGTATGGCCATGCCTTAGTTATACTTTTCTTAATGGAGCTCACCTGATTGACCTAATTAATAATACATTTTGTTTTGTTGTTTCATTTAACCACAGGTTAACAAGGCTAAGAGAAGCCTCTGATGAAATTGTGACTGAAGAAGAGTCTGAAGTTACTTTGTCAGAGGATAGTAGCTATCCAGAAGATATAAATTCAAGTCCTGGTGTGTCTGAAATGAAGGAAGACAAGAATAGGAATGAAAATGACTATGCCAAAGACCTTAGAAGTCAGCAACCTGCTGGAATACCCACCCTGGTGATTATTTTCAAGTGTATACTCCTATTCATGTCTATAGGAACGATATAGTTTAAGGAACTGGTTGTTTGTAGATTTGGGTATAATTCTGAATTAGGTTTCTGTTACAAAAGCTGATTGTGAAATGCAGTTATGCTAATGGGTGCTAAGAAGCATTATAAATGCTTGAAAATCTTAAAAATCTTAAATGCACCCAAATTGTTAAATCTTTAATTATATATAAGAGGAATAATGCTGCTTTAGATCTCTGTAAATGTTCTATGAATATTCATCAAATTATTTTGCAAATTTCCATAAATGTTAGAGTTTAAAATCATGAACAATAAACACTCAAAGTTCATTTTGGTCAGATGGTAATGTGGCACTTAAATCTCTTCTAGAAGGTAGCAGATGATGGGTTAGGCATAGGTACCAACCCAGATTTTAAGCAGTTAACTTTGGTAGTTGAGCCAGTGATATGTGGAGGTTTCCATTTCCAAATTAGGGAGTGCATTTTTAATCTTTGAGATTGATGACACTCTTGAAATGGTGGTACTAGAATTTAGAAAGTTCCCGTTCTGAGGACTTCTTTTTACAAAGCAAGGCAGGTTTGGAATCAGGCCAAATGATAATATCAGAATAGACATCTGCCTGTGCTTGCTGAGTTTGTATTTTGAGAAACTTTCTTTTATTATTTTAATTTTATTATTTTGTTGCATTTCCAAAGAGCTAATAAAAATAAACTCAGCTTCACAGCAATTGTACATTCATATATATATATATATGATTATAAATGATGCTGGAGATCTGATGATGAAATTTCATAAGACCAATGACTTCTTTATTGCAAATACCTTTTTTCAACAATATTAATGGTGACCATACACATGGTAGCGTAGTGGTTACCAATCGGGCTGCAAACCGCAAGGTCAGCAGTTCGAAACTACCAGCTGCTCCGCGGGAGAAAGATGAGGCTTTCTGCTCCTGTAAAGATTTACAGCCTCGGAAACCCTGTTGAGGGTCACTATGGGTCGGAACCGACTCAATGGCACTTAACAACAACATACACATGGACCTCATCAGATGGAATACATAGGAATCAAATTGACTACTATATGTGGGAGGAAATGATGGAAGAAGTTCAATATCATCATGCAAAATAGGCTAGGGGTGTACTATGGAACAGGTGATCAATTGCTCATATACTACTTCAGGCTGAAGCTGAAGAAAATTTTAAAAAGTCCACAAGAACCAAAATACAACCTTGAATAAATGCTGCCTGAATTTAGAAACCATCTCAAGAACAGATTTTATGCACTGAACAAAGACTAGAGGAGTTGTGGGATGACATCAAGAACATCATACATTAAGAAAGCAAAAAGTTATTAAAAAGACAAGAAACTAAGAAAAAACTAAAGTAGATGTCAGAAGAGACGATGAAACTTGTTCATGAATGAATATAGAGTAGGTAAAGCTACTGGAAAAAATGATGAAGTACAAGAGCTGAACAGAAAATTTCAACTGGCAGCTTGAGAAGACAAAGTCAAGTACTGTAATGAAATGTGCAAAGACATGGAGTTAGAAAAGCAAAACGGAAGAACACACTCAGCATTCTTCAAAAAGAACTGAAGGGGAAAAAAAAAAAAATCTAAGCTTAAAGTTGCAACAGTAAAGGATTCTGTGGGCAAAAATGGATGCAACCATAACAATGAAACGATATACAATTGGATGACTATAAAGCTAGTGTTCTCCCATGTAAACAATCACATAATTCACAATAAACATTAAAAAAAATGAAGTCCTGGTGTGGTGCTGTAGGATAAGCATAATAACTGCAAGTTCACTAGTTAAAACCACCAGCCACTCCTCCAAATCTTATACTAAGGTGCTTTATGCTATTTTCTGTTGCGTCATATGTATGTGGCAGCTGGACAATGAATAAGGAAGGAATACTGGAGAAGAATGTGGATGCATTTGAATTGTGGTGTTAGCCAAGAATATTGAACGTGCCACAGACTGCCTAAAGAACAAACAAATCTGTCTTGGAAGAAGTACAGACAGAAAGCGCCTTAGAAGTGAGATTGTCAGGGCTTTGTCCCTTGTACGTTTGGACATGTTATCAGGAGGGACCAATCAATAGAAAAGGACATCATGTGATGGGCCAGTGGAAAACAGAAAGACCCTCCCACACAACAAGATGGGTTGACACAGTGGCTGCCACCAGTGGGCTCAGCTATAACAAATGTGCGAATGGCGCAGGACCTGGCAGTGTTTCGTTCAGTTTGTGTAGAGTTGCTATGAGTTGGAACCAACTCAGCGGCCCCTAAAAAAGAGAACATATGTATGTTTGCCTTGTATTCTGTTTGAATCTACAACTTTAGTGTATTTTAATTTTCTTACATTTAATTACTTTTATCATTTGTCATTTATTCTGAAAAAAAAAAAAAAAAACCTAATCAAAAAGTTGAATGATGTTGGTTGTTAAGTGCCATAGAGTCAGTTCCAATTCATAGTGACGCTGTGTGGAGTTTCCAAGGATTTGGAACCACCAACCTTCTGGTTAGCAGTCCACTGCTGACCAGGCTTGTTTAATGATGAGCTAAACTTACTGAAAGCGAAGAGGACTTAAAACATTTACTGATGAAGATCAAAGAGCACAACCTTCAGTATGGATTACATCTCAATATAAAGAAACAGAAATCCTCACCACTGGGCCAATAAACAACATTCTTATCAATGGAGAAAAGATTGAAGTTGTCAAGGACTTCATTCTTCTTGGATCAACTATCAACACTCATGGAAGCAGCAGTCA